CAATCCATTGTTCACCATATAGCATAAAAGTCCATACACCCCTAATCATGCCATTTTAATTCTCAATTCTAAGCATCAATATAATTATCGTGATACGACAAACCCGGTATGCCGTGCTAATCCCTCACCAGTTCTGGTCATTCAAACACCGGTTCTAGCCTCCCGTACTAAAACGTCAATTTCACGAACGAAACCCGAATTAAAATCCGAGATCTTCCTAATATCCCCTGCAGTAACCCCGCCAATATTAGTTCTAGGCTCCGGGTCAAATTCTTGATAAAAACTCATCAAACCCTGGCCGGAGCTAAATTCAGCGATCCCGGCTCCGATCTAAATAATAGCCGAAATTCAGGAATTAGAACTAGAGGATTGATTACCTCACTGCAGGAAGCTCGTATATGAAATTTGGGCTCAATCCGGCTTCCGGATACTCCGAAACCCTAATTTGGCTTATCGGGAATTCAAGAAATTCCTGATCCAAAAACTCGTTTTAAAGCTCTAAATCGATAAATCACGATGTATGGATGAATTAGGCATTACTTACGGAATTTTTGGATCACTGTAGCTTAAGAATCGAGCTGGGGAATTTTTCCCCCGACGTTCCCCTGAACTTTGCTTGCTCTGCTTCTCTCGGTCTAATTTAATGGAACAGGAAGAAGATATGGAATTAATGGTACGAGGGAAAGAAGGGGAAATGTATATATATATGGGCGCCGCGTATTGTTTTTTTTATATTAATTCGATAATCCGATTTTCATTTAAATAGTGTCGAAATGCTCAATTTTAAATCGTGAAATTTTCTAACAATAGAAATATAGGTTTTACCGGAACGGGATGTTAGATACAGTACAAACAATGCTAAAAATAAAATTCAAACATGCATGTTCTATATTGAAAAGTAAGTGAAAGAAAAGTCAAACCGATGTTTGGGTGCCTCCCAACTAGCGTGTCTTTGATAACACCAAAATGGTGTTATTTACCGTGCATTTATTAGGTGAATTTGTGTTAAAATGATCTTCAATTGTTTTACAAAATGTCATTAGCGTGCCCATTTCGTTCCTTTTCATTTATGATATGGTTTTGGGACGCATTTGACATTACGAGCAAAGACGGGGAGAAAATGGGCAAAAATGTGTAGAAGCAAGGAGAAAGGCTAGACAAGGCAAAGATTGCAGCTGAATGGCTCAAGTTCCCAACTGTGAAGATGGGCCACAAAGTCTACCAGAAGATTGCGGGCCGAAGCCAGAAGTTCCCGACCGCGAAGTTGAGTACGCTGATCGCGAACTCTGGAAAGAGGCACCGACTGGGAGTACAGAGAGTTTACCCACTCTCTTTGCGGGCAACGTTGATCCTGATAGAGGAAAAAGATTACGCCCGCGACACTAATGTTCGCGGCCGCGATGTCCCGTCTTCCGGCCGCGAAGTAGCCCGAGATGTCTAGCGCCTATAAATAGTGGAGCTGCTGAAGAGAAAAGGGAGAGCCGCCTTAGATTGAGAAAATTAGAGATTTGGAGTGTTTTAGAGAGGAAAACACTTTGGCAAAGCTTCATTGAAGATCCAATCAACCCAAGGAGAAAGAAGAAGGTGCAAGCAAGGTGAAGAAGCTTGATTCTATCATTCCCCTCTTCTAGTATGTACTTTCTTCCTCTCTAATGACTTGAATCTCTAATGGTTGTTTAGGGAAGATGAACCCTAGTTTATATGTTGTGTATGAATGGGTTATGTAAGAATGTGTTTATCTTGTTGTTTTGAATGTCATTCTATCATCAATTTTGTTTTGGGCAGGTCGCCATAATCTTCTCTTTTAGCCTACTTATGCTTCTACGTTGGGTTTGGAGTTTTAGAGTTAGACGGGTATTGTGACATCAAGCAAATCGAGTTAGATGTATGAATAGGGACCTATAGTGGTCGAGGCGACTGAAACCCGTTTATAGGTTAGCCTTCCCAGATAGAACCCATGATAAAACCTCGGTGTGGACGGTGGATAGTGTCCATTGAAATAAGCCATAAGCTTAATTCCCCATATATGATTGCCTAGATCGAGGTGACTATATTTGGGTTTAGGGGTGGCGTACTCGGAGGCGTGTGTATAACCACGAAAGCTCACAGAAAAGAGCTCACTCACCACACTTGATAACCCTACTTGACAAAGATAACTAGGAGGATTCAATCCTAGGAAACCGTCTCATTATCTAGCTTCCTCCCAACCACTTGGTTGGTTGTTTATTTTTCCTTAGGAGTAGGTCAAGTTAGCTCAAACCCCCATCAAACTTACGACCCGATTAGATAGTAGTTCGGAGTGAAGTAATAGTAAGCTTAGGGTTCCCTTAGAATATGATCGAGCCACTTTACTAAAACCTTAGCTAGGTTATACTTGGCTTAATTAGGATTGAATAGAGAGTGTGCTTTGACTTTATTAATTTAAAGCTCGATTGCACACCCAAGCAACCGATCAGTCTTTTAGGTTGTTTCACCAGACTGTTGCCTTCAAATTCTCGGTCCAATTTAAAACCTCCTTGAATTTTTTCATCAATTAAGTGGAGTCTCAATTCTTGATCGGTCTCCCGATCATTTGGTGATGGCTCATGTAGACAAAAATGCTCGAGACACCTCCAATGAAACCTCTCTTCATCGGATCTCAAACCTAGTTGCTTGATATACCTCCTATTTTCTATCAACCTCTCAGGTAACCCTTCTTGTTCAATGAGGAAGGAAAGAAGAGGAAACTCAGGATTCTCTCGTATTGAAGTTGACCCTTCTATAACACCCTACCCTATACGTTTTGCCTAATCATATTGTTCATACAATTGCAGCGGAATTAATCTTGGGTATTACATTAATTATCAAAATTTATCCAAATAAAATTTCGACATGAATTACTCGTGTAATGGGCTAACAGTTCTTGCAACTTATTCTGCAAAATAATTCATCACAAACATATATACTCACAACCATTTGCATTAGCTTTTCTTAGCCATAGTCACACTTATAGGTGTCAATCGGGCGGGTTCAGGCAGATTCGGGCTGGGTTCAATCGGGTTCGGGTTCAAACGGGTTGCGGGTTAGTCGGGTTCCGGGTTCATCGGGTTCGGGTTCATCGGGTTCGGGTTCAAACGGGTTGCGGGTTAGTCGAGTTGCGGGTTCATGGGGTTCGGGTTCAATCGGGTTGCGGGCAAATCGGGTTGCGAGTTCATCGGGTTTTGGGTCGGGCGGGTTGCGGGCGGGTCGGGTTTCGGGTTGTTCGGGCCATCGCATCAAGTAACTTAACTCATTACTCATTACCAACTTACACATTTTATTACACTAATTTAAAATATTTTCTCAACTTTTTAACCAATTTATTTCTACCTCGTATATATATACACTTTATTTTTTTGAAAAAAACTAGTCAAAATTTTAAATCAATTTGTATGACTTGCAAACTTGTTATGTAATTAATCATAATTGGTAAAGTATTATAGCTAATAGTAATGGTGATATCAATATTTGCAACCAAAAGACACCGTTAATTGTTTATTTGATATTTTATTATTAATTCAGTAGTAATTGAATTAAAGTATCTCGTTTAGTATAACCATGCAAATCTGGTATTTGGCGTGTGGTAATTGGCAAAAGCATAGTGATAAAAGGTGTTATTTCAAAATAACTCATTGCCCAAATAACTTCAGTAAACTGTTGCCAAACGAGTTATTTGTAAAATTGTTCGAATTATCCTAAAAATTGAACCATTAAAGATTAGCTATCAAATTTAGTAAAATTATTGTGACTTCAATCATAACTTACTCAATAGCATATATCCTATACACTTACCCTTACCCTCAATCAACAATATTAAGTTAGTATATGTTGTTGATTGTATACCCTAAACCATCAATACATTATACACTAACCACATAACCTATACCCTAACCATATGTCCTTGAGTTGTGATTTTGCTAGTATAATTAATTTAAAAGTGAAATTCATACTTTGATTTTCAAAACATAGATAAAAGAGTGATATTTGCTAATTGTTATACCCTAACCATCCATAAAATCCTGCAATCACAAGTCATAGTGTAGCCCTTCCTTCCACTACGTTACCCTGCAGGCCGTCACCAATGATATCCCAGAGTGCACAGAATTTGACTTCCACCACTTTTGTGCATTACCGTCGCTGGAATATGGCAGTTCTAGGATACCCTCGAACAGATCTGGACTCCGATCTTCCTACTCGTAATTGGTGGTGATGGTGAATCGAAGGTCGGCTTCCAATCTGGTGAATTTGACGGCGACACACATCTCACAAGTCGTCACGCTGCTTGCCTCCTCCATCGCCATCGACCCTTTTTGTCACTTTAGGGCGCCCGTGAGAAGAGGGAGGGTAGAAAGACAAAAACATGTCGCCTAACTCCTCCGGTACCACGCTGCTGGTCGGAGAAGAAAGAGAGAGCACGGTGGACGGGTGGAGAGAGTTTGTAAAAGGTGAGAGGGCATGTGGGCGGTTTCAGAGGAGCAGCGGCTGGCCATTTTGTATATATATTAGGCAATGTTGTCATAACCGAACCGGAGCATGATCCGACGACTCTCACTTTAGTGGTCCAACCATCATTAGACCGTTTAAAAACCGTTAGAGAACCGGTACCTAATAAATTTTATCAGTATAAATAGTGGATATTTCTTAATCAGAGCTCGTCTCTTTCCTTCGAAATTGTAAAATGGAAATAAAGTTTCAGTTTCAGAGCCCGACGTTTTTGGTTTATTTCAATTTTCGATTTTCTGCAATTTTTTTAATTAGATTTAACTGCCGAATTGCAAAAACCGGACGAGCGGTTCGATCGGTTTGAGCAGCTAACCGCATCGGCCGCTCGTCAAGCGCTACATAAAACCGAAGCGGCTTTTAGACTGTTACGAGCCAATTTTATAACCGGGTGGTGGCTTAACCGAACGGGCCGAGACTCGACTCGTATTTAATAACACTGATATTAGGGTTTGTGCCTTTGTGGTGAGTGGGGTTCATTTTTACCAAATTAACCTTTATTAAATTTTAACCGTATGATTAACTTTGCATCTAATGGCTGGAGATTAAGTTAGCACGGTCTCATCCCGATGTCTCCGACTTGGACAGAGGCGAACATCGATGGGTAAAGTCAGCAATCAACCCCAATTCTTTCTCATTCCCTTTTCCTCGGCTTTTCGATGGCCCGCCACGATCTTTCTTCCCATCTTCTAGCATCTACCGCCGCGGAATCTCATCGCCACCGTTAACGGCGACGGCAACTCCTCCTCCCGCTAACCCACCGCTAACCACCAGAACTGCGACCGGGCCGACTCAAATAACAATCACCACATTCCTCCTCACTCTAACTCCACTACTCTCCGCAACCCTTTCGAATTCGTCAGCTCCGACGCTTCCTTCTCCGTCCTACGCCGTGCGCCATCGATCCCTTCCGCAACGAACTCCCCGTATCGACGGACTGTACGAGGTTTTGTAGATTTTGCTGCTCCTTCCGATCGTAGTAATCAGATTGCTTCTTTGGACTCTGTTTGGCGATTTCAGGATGGAAAGACATGCACAGCCCTATACCCAGATGGCGCTCTCGCCTCATGTGGGTCACTAGGTTTACTGCCTCTCTTCTCTTTTGGGTCTGATTTTAGCTCTCCCTCTTTTCCCTCGCTCCATCCTCCCTACTCCCTCTTATAAGTTGGTGGCAGCTTGAGATACTACTATTCTAGGATTGATTAGTGGTGTTTATTATTATTTTTTTTTGTCTGATTGCAATTACTGCATCTAGCTACCAGTTGATATGAAGGAAAGGAATTGCTCCGTCGTTGTATGAAATCATGTTTCTTAGATCGAACCCTTTTTTTTTTTTTTTTTCTTTCTTTCTATGAGATGTGCCCTACCATTGTTGCTTCCGAGTCGCATGATGCTTTATCTTTTGTGGGAACCATCAGCAGAATTATGCAGGCAATTCGAGATTTTCCTCTCAGGCGATTTCACCCTAGTCCGAGCTTGTCATCATTGTTATTATTATTTCCTTTTTGCCTCCTATATTCCGTTCTTCATGCTGTTTTATGCTTTTGTTGGTATTCCAAAAGGTAAACAGTTGGTTTCTCTCATTTTGAAATTTTGACGATTCCATAGTGGTTTTGGTTTTCTGATATGATCCCAATTGGATCAATCCACAATTCAAAATTACTTGCCAAAGAAGCTATCAAGGTTGGAAAGAAGAAAGACAGATTTTGGTTAAGTATAGAGACAGTTTCAAGGTACCAACTTTGGAGGTATGGTTCTCTTAATTGGCTCAATGAAAATTGGTGTTTGATAGCTTGTTTTGAACATAAACACTTTATCTATAAGTTGGTATGCTTGGTGGCTCAAGAGGAAGTCCAGAAGGTCATTTTCCAGACGTGTAAAAATGCTATGAAGAATTCTGGAAACTGCCAAGATGTGACTAAGGCAGAAAACAGTGTTGAGATACCAACTTTGAAGGCCTATATCTGGAGTTTGGAACATGATCTCAGTCTGATTCAAGTTGGAGGTGAAACAGGAAGTTTTATTCTACAAAGGCAAGGAATTGGTTGAATTCGAATCAACCTAGAAGACCATTTTCTAAGGGATCAAAGATGCTACTAAGCCTGTTTTCCTAGGCAGCCTTGCTTGCGTTTTAAGTCAGTTTCTTGGCCAGCAAGTTACCTTGTTTTGAACGAATTATTTAGCCTTTTTCTGTTCTAATTAGTTTCCTAGTTCTATTAGGTTTGTATTAGGTTTTTATTGTCTTTAAATAGCTTTCAATTTCACGTTGTAAATCATCGAAGTTTTAGTTGAATAAAAATTGCTCCTTTGTGAGAATTGTGTTCTTTGAGAGTTCTCAAGAATCAAACCCTTGAGTTAGTCGTGTGAGGAATTCCATTGCTAATTCGAGAACCCTTGTGAGGCTTTTCTGTGAGGATTCCAGATTCGTTTTACAAGTTTCTTATCAATCAAGTAATCACCTTGATTGTGACGAAATTCTACCTATCCGTTTTATCTTTCGTTGAAGAGTTTTGAGCTGCGTATTCTGATCAAACAAAGCACCCCCCTGGTGCTTTATCAAGTGGCATCAGAGCCTTAGGTTCAAGTCAGTGGCGAGAAGAATTGAAGGCTGAGTTTCGTACAAAAATTCAGTACGAAACAGAGTACTATGGATACCGAGGAGCTAGCACGTTCGATGATTTTTACGCGTTGTTTAATCAAAGAGAAAACGTGTTCAGTTCTTGTTGATGGAGGCAGGGAGAGGAATCTGATTTCCTCTAGGACTGTGAGCAAGCTAGGGCTGCAAACACAGCCACTATCAAAGTTCTATACCTTTCAATCGCCTTATGATGGACACTCCAATTTCGTATTCTCCCAAGTAGCTGTGGAATTTTCGATCGGACAATACGAAGACAAGATTATTTGTGACGTGGTTTATAATCTGCCCAGCCACATCGTGTTGGGGCAGCCTTGGTTTCGAAATCGACAGGTCGAATTCGTTAGCCGAAGAAGCAGAAGTTTCAGAGTCCGGAAACGACGTACAACGTTCGTCTTGCGTCCATTGAATCCAGAACAAGCTGTTGGCGATTTGCAGGAGGTTAGACGACTCCAAGAGGAGTACCAGAAGGCCCTGTGTTCGAAGCTGTTGTTGACGAGAGCCCAAAATGTCCAGACCCAGCCCGAGCAAGACATCTCATGTCTTTCGCCGCAAAAACAAAACACCGGGTTTACTGTTGACAAGGAGGAACGAGATAGCGAGCTCGACATGGCGAGAAACGAGTTCTTCGAGGTTGAAGGAAGGACGGAAGAGCGAGGAGAGGGTCTAGAGCTAACTGATGGCGTCCCTGTGACGAGAGCAGCAGCCTGTCGTTCTTCGCCGGCAAAACAGAGTGCTTCGAGAGCTCTCGTGGCTAGACCAATCCGTGAAGAGTCGAAACTTAGAAAGAGTGTCGACACGTTCGATCAGATCCCAGGAAGGTCGGAAATACTTCCATTGGTGTTGAACGAAACTGAATTTGAAGAATTGAATCGCTCAAAAACCCCTCTGTTTTTTACTAAAGACGAAGAGAACGAGCCTCTATTACGTAGCGCGATCGAGCTCAAATCGAGCAAAACGAATGATGCAGAGTCCTTCATGGAGGCCCTAGAAACGTTTCGAAGTCGTCAATTTGTCCCGAAGAAGTCTAAATCAACAACGCCCAATTCTGAATTTTTTTGCCGAAAGTTTGGAGAAGACAAGGAAGAATCGATTGGAGAGTCTGGACGCGAATCGAACGAAAAAGAGACCATGGGCAAGTTCGGGGAGGCTCAAGGAAGCTCTAGAAACGATCAATTGGATGAGGGGAAGGTAGAATTAAAAGCGCCCAATTCGCGTTCGACCTCGCCGGAAACTGGGCTTCTCTCGCCGGAATCTGGGTTTGGGTTGCCGGAATCTGGAAAATTCGAATCCTCCGACGGCGGGAAATTCGAAAATCAACAATTGGAGCTGTTTGGGAAGATTCGAAGCATGGGAGAAGGTGGAATCGACTCCTGGGAGACATTAGAAGATATTTCAAGCAACGAATTGGAGCGAGGAAGCCTCAAGAAGAAATTCCCAAATTTGGAGCTCTCGCCGGAGTTCTTGCCGGCGCCGGATTCTGGAAAATTGAATCGATATGTTTTGGGTTTGTTTGAGCACACTGTTTGCATGGGAAAGGTCCATTGGAGTCCCACGAACGTCATGGAACTTAAATCGTGGAAAACAGCCACCAATTCGCGAGTTAACGAAGGGTTGAAGTTCGACTTTGCAAGTTCGAGGTACCTATTTCGTGACTCGATTTGGGAGGAATTTTGTGACGATTTTGGAAAACGAAAGCTTCAAGCTTTGAGGTCAAAGCTTTTTGAAGAGGGGGAGCCTGATATGATCCCAATTGGATCAATCCCCAATTCAAAATTACTTGCCAAAGAAGCTATCAAGGTTGGAAAGAAGAAAGGCAGATTTTGGTTAAGTATAGAGACAGTTTCAAGGTACCAACTTTGGAGGTATGGTTCTCTTAATTGGCTCAATGAAAATTGGTGTTTGATAGCTTGTTTTGAACATAAACACTTTATCTATAAGTTGGTATGCTTGGTGGCTCAAGAGGAAGTCCAGAAGGTCATTTTCCAGACGTGTAAAAATGCTATGAAGAATTCTGGAAACTGCCAAGATGTGACTAAGGCAGAAAACAGTGTTGAGATACCAACTTTGAAGGCCTATATCGGGAGTTTGGAGCATGATCTCAGTCTGATTCAAGTTGGAGGTAAAACAGGAAGTTTTATTCTACAAAGGCAAGGAATTGGTTGAATTCGAATCAACCTAGAAGACCATTTTCTAAGGGCTCAAAGATGCTACTAAGCCTGTTTTCCTAGGCAGCCTTGCTTGCGTTTTAAGTCAGTTTCTTGGCCAGCAAGTTACCTTGTTTTGAACGAATTATTTAGCCTTTTTCTGTTCTAATTAGTTTCCTAGTTCTATTAGGTTTGTATTAGGTTTTTATTGTCTTTAAATAGCTTTCAATTTCACGTTGTAAATCATCGAAGTTTTAGTTGAATAAAAATTGCTCCTTTGTGAGAATTGTGTTCTTTGAGAGTTCTCAAGAATCAAACCCTTGAGTTAGTCGTGTGAGGAATTCCATTGCTAATTCGAGAACCCTTGTGAGGCTTTTCTGTGAGGATTCCAGATTCGTTTTACAAGTTTCTTATCAATCAAGTAATCACCTTGATTGTGGCGAAATTCTACCTATCCGTTTTATCTTTCGTTGAAGAGTTTTGAGCTGCGTATTCTGATCAAACAAAGCACCCCATGGTGCTTTATCATTTTCTCTTCATGCATAACTTAACATTGCATTTACATTTTTTGGCATAAAGATGGCATCTTGATTTCTGATCCAGCCACAGGAGAACAAGGTTAAGGCAGCAAAGTGGGCTGAACCATTCCTAGGGACAATTGGAACGGTAATAACCTTGACCTAGTGACATAATGGTTAGCCCTTTGCTTCAGCGTTTCCTTTCGGTGGACTTGAATTTCGTTTTGCATATGGGGTGTATATTTAGAGCTATTGTTTTGTAGATATGTTGTGTTAATAGTTGTTTTGTGGTCTCAATTTCTTGGTACAATAACCTCTTTTATTTCTCATTATGCCTGTGTCTCAGTTTTTTGGTACCATAACATCTTCTGATTCCCATTATGCATGTTATTCATTGTCTATTATGGTTTTGTTTGTCCGTCGGATGCAGAAACGGATCCCAACTGTGAAGGATAAGTTGGTGGTGGTAACACATATACGGTCCCTGAGTGCAACTGCTGTGGAAGCTTATGAGACCTCAAAGACAGCAATAATAGCTCACATAGTTCTGGTACAAAAGAATGATGGATTCCTACTTTCAGGTATATTTCAACTATACTCATGTTTTTTTTGGGTAAACTATATTCACGTTTTGTTGTATGCCTGTTCGTAATTGTTCTCTAAAATGGGTTACTATATTTTCACATGAAGCTAAGAACTTGAGTAAGCCATATAATCAAGTTGCCACTGTTACTAAACACCATGTTGAGAAACCATACACAAAGAAAGTAGTGTGGGCATATCGGAAGTTTCTGTATTGGCGACTACCTACCATTATCAGGTAGGTGTAAATTTATGTGTATGTGTATTGTTGTTTGGGCTTCAGAACTATTTCAATAAATATCCTCTGTGTATTAGTTGTGTATTTTGTTTCTATTTTTTCGGGAAGTCAACTTAGAATGACCACTCTCTATGATTTTTTACAAACATCATAGCTAGAGTAGACTTGAGTGATTTTTCTTCTTAGATGCAAGGAGCTGTTCAAGATACCCTGAAAAGGCCTGAAGATACTGAATCTCTTGCAACTGAAGAATTTGTCTACTTTGTGGAATATACTTACTATTGTATATAATACAGAAAAGATATCGTTATTCAATCATGAAAATCAGCTCTATAATTCTGTTTAGTACAGTAGGACTAATTGATGGGTGCATGAACTGCTGCTGTAGGCATCAGCGACATTGGTCCTGCTTAGACTTTGTCCAGCTGTTTTCTGGTTGGTTTCAGAATTTCGATCAATTGTCATTTCCCCACTTTTTCCAGTCTGCTAAATATGCTTCAATGTTCTTGCAGCAATAAATCAAAGACACCAACTAGCCAACTAGAAGTGCCCATTCCAGCCACATACTTCTGCTACTTGACAATGCCAAGAAGGAAACACGTGAACTGGTTTATCATGAGACATCTCGGTTAAAAAAGGTATATTGTTTTCTGTTCAAGTGCAATTACAATCATGGGACAAACGTTCTAATGCTGCAGTTGAATGGGAGAGAACAGTGACCTGCCTGTTTCTATGTTCAATGCTATGCTACGAAACAGGGAGAAAAAATCAAATACACAAAAAGTACGTATCTTTTCCTATCTCTCTCTCCAGAATTGTTTCATTCAGCTCTCCCTTAAGCAGTTTGCCACCTCGTTGTTTTGTCATTATATGATATCCCTGCATTAATACATGGATAGAGAAGAAATGAGTACATGAAAAAGGGTGTTGGGTGTGGGTAGGGGTAGGGATTTTCTAACCGGGCCTGAAACCAGAATGCTGGGTGATCTCCATTCAGATTGTTTGTGAAATATTCCAGGTGATTGGTTCTCAGGTTGTAGACACCAGCTGATCGAAGTCTGGGTAACTCATATCCACGAATGAGAATATAATCAGGTGCAAAATACACCCGGTCTTCTTTCACTCCCTTTGTCGTGTCAGCAGAGAGGACGATGGCCTGATGGGGTCCTACAAAAGCTGCACATCCCTGAAGGCGTTTTACCCGCGTCCACTCATAGCCATCCGAATCGCCGTCTAGTCTGAATGCCTGCAGCAATGGATAAATGAGTAAGAGGATTCTATATTTCTACAATTTACCCAAGTACAAAATCTAGCTGAAAATGAATGGCAGAGTTCCCTCTTTCAATTTACAGGGCATAGAGGCTGGGTCAGCTGGGAGGAAAATGAAGTTAATTGGGCTGCTGATGTGTTTAAAGGGTCTTCTCCTAAAAATGCAGCTGCAAAACTCACCTGGGTTACATTGATTAGTATGCTATGGGGGCAGGGGTGTAAGATTGTTTATGCTGTTTGCAATGTGGAAAGGTTGCTGACGGAAGTGAAGAAGGAAGTTTGCATTTTGTTCCCTGATGCAGCAGGAATGAAGTTATGGTTATGGAGGCTGTAACTTTTTTTTGTTTTCTTTAAGTACCTCAGGAGGTTCAAAATATTAGTCTTCCCCCATTTTCTTTATAGCATAATGGACTGATATATAGAAAGGACTTGTTTTTGTACAGGTAGGGGTAGCTCTGTTCATTGGGGTTTTCTTATGATATACATAGACCAACCTATTCCTAAATGAAAGTAAAGAAAAGTCTATGTATATGATATTAATCATGTAAATGCGACTATGTTCAACAACATCGACTAACAAAATCTATCTATATGCAATTAATTACGTATATTCAAACAACAAAATAGACTAAAGTAAGAGAAACTTATTTACTTGAATCAGAGGGCCAGCTTCGCGAAGCGGGTCGATGTAGAAGTTACGAACGATTAGGTGCAGCCGGCCATGGACGAAGCACACATATGGCTGCAAGAAGCCATCTCGGTCTGGAGTCCCGCTTCTCCGGAATTCGGCTGCGAGCTCTCCCGAATACACGAACCTTGTTACTTTTTGTTGAATGGCGGGAATTCCAAACCCCTCAACTACGTGAACGGAGCGGTTGCCGCTGAGGAAGAGTTTCCCGTCATGGAATCCGCCGTCTCGCATTATCTCCACCGCGGGGACAAGGGACGATTGCAAGTATTTCCAATCAAACGCTCGATCACCAAAATTGATCCAGAGAACCTGGAACCTCTCTCTACTCCTGAAATCGATGATGAAGACGGTCGAGCAAGAAAGCAGTGCTTTGGCGCAGGGGAGGTAGAGGCACGCATTTACCAGTGACCGGATTCAGCAGGTACAAGTCAAGCATGAGCTCGCGATCACTGAAGGGGCGCTGTAAAGAACGTAGAATCCAACCATCTTTGCAACCGATAGATTGAGCCGCTTCAGGGTAATCGGGCTCGATTTCTTCGGCCAAAGATTTGGACAACGCGAAAAGCCAATACCCACGGCGTTGGCGGGACAGGACATCGGAAATGGCAGCGTAGGTTGGAAAAGAGGGCAGTCGGAGATGAGGAGGCCAGGCATGCTAGTCAGGCGGCGGAAGCGGTCCACATTCAGAGCCTCCTTCCTCCAGTTCCTGCAAACGCCGGCGAAGGCAATGAGGTCCCGGCGTTTCTCCATGCGCTCCACCAACTTCACCAATGCAAACGCCGGCAACTCTGCGTATCTCGTCATGCTATGGCTGGAGGAGAACAGCCGATCAACAGCTCGTTTCTTGTGGATTCTTGATTCTGTTGTGCTCTGTTTCTTGGGACTGACCGGGAATGGGGAAATTTTCAACTCGTGAATTAACGGACTTACGATTTGTTAATCGCTCAACTTTTAACTTGATAGTTTTCAGGCCCGCCCCCTAAACGACCATAGTCTATATTTTTCAGGCATGCAATAACTAGTCCCTGTAGTTAATCCATATATGTTATTTGGGCCCGGAGATACAGTTTACACTAGTGTTCAAGTGCTGCCCTTTTAACCAAGTAGTATTTGAAAATTTTGGTTTGATTAATTTGGTTAATTGGTTTTGTCTGGTTAAATATTAAAGTTTGCTTGGTTTCAAGAACTCCTAACCAATCAAACCAAATTTATCAATTAAGTAATTACTAATTAGTCATATATCTAATATATATTATATATACATACTTAATAATTTGCATAACCATTCAAGAATCAAACGTTTCTCCCTTTTAGACTCATCATAAAAAAATAAAGCTCAACATTATTCCTATGCTGTAAATTTGTAGTTGAGAGTGTAGACTACAACAATTGTTTTTAGTGTAGACTACAACATATGAATGTTAAATTTAGATTAAACTCATACATTATGTTGGTTAATTTGGTTCCTGTATTAGTTTGGACGATCTGGTTATGATATTGTATTTCATGGTTAATAAAATTTAGACTTATTTAGTTTGGTAATTACAATAATAACCATTTGAACATCCTACTTTATGTGTCCATATATTTTTCATATAACAATTGTGTGCCAAAATTTTAGTTTTGCTAACTTTGATAGTTAGTAATTTACAATCTACAATTAAATCAATGACGAGTCGCTGAATTTGAATTTCTTTGCAAAGCCAACTTATGAAGTTTATATTTCTTTTTTTTTTTACGAACAAGGATATTTTATTCAGAAATGATTGTGTTACAAGAAAGCCCCATTACAACAGGGGAGAAATCAAATCCAAAATGTGGATCCATTTATTGGGGAGGGCACCCTTACAAGCCCAATTTGCACTTTTGTTACGAGAATGGGGCACAAACTCTAGTGTGATTCGATCATTGAGAGATAGGAGATGGCGCATACTTTGGATCCAACCCATGATTTGCCAGTGGCCTTTCTTCTCAGGAGAATGAAGGATGTCGATGATGATTTTGCAATTCGAGAGAATCCTTGTCGGGAGGTTTAAATCCCCCGCATACTTGAGAGCAACACATAAGGCATTTGCTTCCGCAAATCGCTTCTGAGCAGAATAAAGTATCAAAACCTTACCGCCCAATGTTGTTGTAGACGACAACACCGTAAGCCGCCAACTGCGATTCCGAGACAAAGGCTCCATAGTCCATCCACTACAAGAAAAAATGCTTTTTGCAACTGATTAAAATGGTCACTAAATGTCAACAATTGGTTATTAATACGTTTTCGCAGCGAAAAACTTTTGGCAGCAGAATTGGTCGCTATAGCCACGTTACGAATACCTAACGCGACCAAAATAGTGATTGGTAGCGGAAAATGAGGCTATCGCAACCAATTTCGACCCTGGTAAAAAATCTGATTTTTCGTGACTATTTTAAATTGGTTGTTGTAGTCCCAAATAATGGTTGGGAAATATCGGTGATTGGTCGCCATTTATACAAATGACAACCAATTGATAACTATTAGTGACCTATATTTGAATGCAAATAGATTTTAACGCAACCATAAGAATTGGTCGTTAAAACACCTACCTCAACCAAATAAAACATTTCAACAACCAATTATTTTAGTTATGGAAGTTTAAGGCAACCTAACAAATTAGTGGTATAAAATATATATGTTAACCAATTTTATAACTTTTTGCTACCAATCATTTTAGTTATGAAATTCTTATACAACCATAATATTTGGTATACAAAAGTCCATATGCCGACCAATCATATTGTTTTAGGTGACCAATTTTATTGATTATTAAAGTTCAACCACAACCAAAAAAATTGGTTGCGGAAAACACATAAGTCAACCAAATAAATAATTTCATATAACCAAAATTTTCCATAAAATTTTAGAAATTAAAGTTTATAAAATTAAATTGAATAATAAAAATTTCAAATCATATCTCATCTATAAAAAAATTGTTTTGCATCTAAAATCACAATTACACAATGTTATCACTAAGAACTAAATTAAATTGATTTTGGGTCGATAGTGAACTTATTGTTAGAGAGAGGAACTACATCAAAACCCTAGCTCCGAATAAAACGGAGCGGCGATTCCCCAACTCACCGAACGAAACCTGCGACGACTGATCCACATGTCCGCGCTTGCGCCGGGGGCAGACCCCCTGAGCGCCGGCCATCCTGATACCAACGTCGGTATTCGACGACCATCAACGGTTACGTCCTCGCCGAACGCAAAAGGGGACAAGGAGACTCAACAGGCAAAAAAGCGAGCAAAACCAATGGAAACCAATCCGCTCTTTGAGACAAAACCTATGAGCGAAGACACTCCTTCCCCCACGTCGGGAGGAGACGGGTCGCTGATGAAACAGCAGCCAAGTTCAACATGGAAGACTGATATGGGTTCAAATAATTATTTATTGATTTGTATTTTTTATGATTATAGGAATGGTGAGAAAAACCATCTCTACGTACTCGAGTCCAACTCTAACCCTATAGTTATAGGAATGTTTTCGTTAAATTGATTATACTATAAGATTTATGCCTATTTTTTTTACGATATTTTTACGGTATTTTCTTGATTGATATAATAATACGGTATTTTCTTTCCGTTTATTGATATAATAATCCCAGTAATCCCCCATCTATCTCACTTAACGGAAGAATCCTAAACAAACATATACTGGGACTCCGATGTATCGCCTTTGGCAACGTCTCAAAGCACTTCGCCATCTGCTCTATGACTGGAGTCGAGCAGGTACGAACAATGCACCAAGGAACATTCGGATCCTGCAGACGGAGATTGAGGCATTGAAAGAAGGCGAGGGTATAGATTGGAATCGTATTAGCGATTTAGAGAAGGATTTATCTAAGCAATGGGCTTTGGAGGAGGAATTTTGGAGGCAAAAATCGAGGGTCCGGTGGCTGGAAAGAGGAGACCAGAACTCTTCCTATTTTCATACTGTCACGCGGGCACGTCGTAGACGAAACTTCATTGAAGGTTTACGGGATAAGAGGGTGACTGGGTGACAGATGAAAGGCAGAAAGGTACGGTGGCAGGGGAATTCTATTCGGAACTCTTCACATCGGAGAGACAGTCTTCGGATTGGGAGGAGAAGATGGATGGCCTGCAGGTACATGGGAGGGTCTCGGAGGAGATGAATGGGGCTTTGACTGCGGAGGTCACGGCAAATGAGATTAGACGGGCAGTGTTTTCGATCGGGGCAACCCAAGCACCGGGATCAGATGGGTTTACTGGGAAATTCTATCGGGCGTACTGGGACATTATTGGGATGGATGTAGTGGAGGCGGTTCAGTCCTTCTTCCGGTCAGGACGATTACTGAAAAGTTTCAATCATACCTGGTTAACTTTGGTCCCTAAGGTGGACGCGGTTGAGAGTATGAAACAAATCAGACCGATCAGTCTATGTCAATTGTTTTATAAGATTATCTCTAAAATCATGGCGGAGCGGATGGCTGTTGTTTTGCCCTCCATTATCTCACCTGAGCAGAATGGGTTCGTTCGGGGCCGCCAGATTGTGGATAATGTGCTTATAGGACATGAGGTCATGCACTATCTTAAGATTAAGAAGCGAGGTAAGAAAGGCTATCTAGCTCTGAAAGTCGACATGGAAAAGGCTTATGATAGAGTAGAGTGGGATTTCTTATTCGTGATTATGACCAAGATGGGGTTTAGTGACCAATGGATTGGCTGGATTCGGGAGTGCGTGTCAACAGCGACTTTTTCGGTAATGATGAATGGTACGCCGGTAGGGTACTTTAGCTCGACGAGAGGACTCCGGCAAGGGGATCCGTTGTCCCCTTTGTTGTTTGCTATCTGCTCTGAAGGTTTCGCAGCGTTGTTACGCAAGGCAGTGGAGGAGAAGAGATTAGCTGGGGTTAAAGTTAATCCGAGATGTCCGAGTATTTCACATTTATTTTTCGCTGACGACTCTTACCTGTTTTTGAGGGCATCGAAGCAGGAATGTGAGACATTAGTGCTTTTATTGGGACAATATCAGGAGTTGAGTGGCCAGAAAGTAAATCTGAGTAAGTCTGCTGTTTGTTTTAGCCGTAATGTTGAGCCTAGTGATGTTGATGAAATGGCGGCTATCCTTGGTGTCGGGGCTATAGGAGTTCAGGATAAGTACCTGGGGCTACCGTCGTTGGTTCAACGATCTAAAGTGGAGACTTTTAGGTATTTGGAGGAACGCCTGCTAGCTAAACTTCAAGGTTGGAAGCAGAAGCAGTTGTCTTGGGCAGCGAAGGAGGTGTTATTGAAAGCAGTGGCGGCTGCCTTACCCATCTATGTTATGTCTTGCTTTCTCTTGCCGGTGACGCTTTGCCGTAAATTGGATAAGCACATGGCTAGATTTTGGTGGGGGTATTCAACCGAAAAAGACAAGGCTCATTGGGTGTCCTGGAGGAACCTTTGCAGGAGTAAGTTCGATGGTGGGCTTGGGTTTCGGCGGTTTGAAAATTTTAATCAGGCCCTGTTGGCGAAGGTGGCTTGGAGAGTCGGACAAGAGCCGGGGTCTCTCCTGGCTCGAGTGATGAAATACAAGTGATTTGCCAACTCGGCTATCCTTCAAGCGAATCGAGGGTCGAGGCCTTCGTGGGGATGGACTAGCATCTTGCATGGAAGGGATTTGCTCAAGCAAGGATTGATATGGCAGATAGGTGATGGGGCTACAGTACAGGTGTTAGGAGACAATTGGGTCCCGGGGTGGCGACCGGAGGAGATTGTATGTCGAGCCTCTGCGCCTAATTTGAATGCTGTGACAGTGCAGGCGCTAATGATCCCGGGAACGGGAAGATGGTGTCTTGAGTGCTTGCAGCAATGTTTTTATGAGGATGTTGTGGCTAGAATTTGTTCTATCCCATTGCCGGTGCAGCCGGTGAGGGATAAGCTGGTGTGGTCGCGGGAAAATGATGGGGTGTATAGTGTCAGGTCGGGATACCATTTAGCATTCACTCTTAGTCGCCGTTTGCCGGGGTGGAAGGATGAGGTTTCCTTTTTTGACAGTGGGTTTTGGAAAAAGGTATGGGATTTCCCCATTCAGCCAAAGTTGAAGTTTTTTGTGTGGCAAATGCTTCGACGTATTCTGCCCACCATGGAGGCGATTGTTGAAAAGGAAGGAAAGGTGCCGGCAGTGATACTGGAGAGTGCGGAGGAAGGGGAGTTGGTCAAGCTACAATGCCCGGTGTGCTGGGAGCCTATGGAGACCTTGGAACACATGTTTCTCTCGTGTACAGTGGCTAGGGCTCTCTGGGAGAGGTCGGGCATTGTTGGAGGAGTAAGTTCTCCTCATGCGAGTAATTTTGCTTTGTTCTTTCGTCGGTTTGTTGAGCAGGGTTCTAGTACTGAGAGGATTGTCCGATTTGTGGCGCTGTTATGGAGAATCTGGAAGAGTCGGAATTGGGTGGTCTTTGATCATGTGCAGTATGCTATTCCGCGGCTTGTGCAGCAGTATGAGAGCCAGGTTAAGGAGTGGCTCTCGATTGTGCACCCTGTTCCGGTTCAACGTGATTTGAGTCGGGTGGGTGGGGAGATGGGCGGGGGGAGTAGGTGTGGCCAGGGGCCGGGTGTAGTGTCGTATTCCTGTTTTGTGGATGGTGCAGTGGCGCCGGGGTCTCATGGTGCGGGGGGGTTGGTGGTTCGAGATGCGATGGGTAGTGTTTGTTTTGTTCAAGGCTTTTCTTATGCAGGTCTTGTTGATCCCTTCTTAGTGGAATTGGTAGCCTTCCGTGATGCGATTCGGTGGTGATTTTTGAAGGGTCTCACTGAAGTGAAGTTTTATGGAGATGCTAAGGTTGTCATTGAGAAGATTCAGAGAGCGGATGCTAGGGACCTGCGTGGTGGAAGGATCTTGGAGGAGATTGGTGGGATCCGGCGGCGCTATCAGAGTTTTGACATTGGTTTTGTTGGCAGGAGTAACAATCGGGTGGCTCATGAGGTGGCCAGGAAGACCCTTTCTTTGTTGCCTGCGAGTGTGGAGAGTTTTGATTTTGAGCGGTGGTTTTCCTTGTGATGTAAACAGTGCTGTCTTTTGGTCTTGGTAATAAAAGCTATCTATTGTTAAAAAAAAAAAAACGGAAGAATCCTAAACCATTATCATTTAACATAATAATAATAATAAACAATAATATTAATCACAAACCTATTATCCTTATTTCACCTAGGATTTATGACTAGAATGTTGATTTCCTTAATTAACCTAACGTCAGACGTTCTAATTGCAATATTTTTATCTATTAATAGTTTTCCTTTTTATTGCTACCAACAGAATTTGGTGAGGTTGGATTATAAACGGGAGTCGTGGAATTAATTGATTGCTAGTTTAGGTAAGTTTAATTTCCGTGTTTGTCTCATCAACTTAATTTTTAATTTAATTAAGGTAAACGTCAGACGAGATTCATCCGTCGGCGGTGGTAGTTTGGTGCTGGTGGCGATGGTTGTCTGGCTACGGTAGCGCCAATGGTAGTGGTATGTCTTCGGCGACGATGGTGTTGTGGTGAATTACAAAATTCGACGAAAGGTAAAAATGACATTTCCATCAAAATTATGAACGGTAAATAGTAAAGACACGGGCGGCAAATAACATGCCTCTAAAATTTCAACCCATTTTTGCAGGTCATCCATCAATTTGGGCAGTAAATAATTTATGTTTTTATTTTTGGTCTACTTTATTCTTTATTTTTTTATAGCACCAAAATCTCCCCTTGGTAATCCGTAATCCTTTCTTCCATCGTGGAAAGTGGAAACCGTTTTTCTTTTCCTACTCGGTAACTAAATAGGCATCTTGAGTTCCATAAAAAAAAAATTAAAAAAAAAGGCATCTTGAGATTGGTTTGGCTATATATACAAACGCCATTCCCAAGGCTTCTTTGTTTTCTCTGCTCCGCCATATATTTTCGCTTAAATCGGGCTTCTTCACCGTGCGAACTTTGTCACGTCACTCTTGATTCGGTGCAGAAGGCTCTTGATTCGGTGCAGAAGGGAATCGAGACGATGATGAGGGAATTGGAGGAGGATGAGTATGTGGAGTATGTCCCAGTTGCAAAGCGCCGAGCTCTGAATGCTAAAAAAGCTCTTCTTCTTGATCGGCGGAAGGGGGGCACTGATAGTTGTGATTTGGGAGATGAAATCCTGAACGACTCACCGTCTTGGTCTGCTAATAAACTGGCTGCTGAATCAAAACCGCAAAGTCTTCTGCTGGTTCAAGCAGCGCAGCTCAAGGGCAAGCAACCTGCAATCACTCGAACGGAGCAGCTTGCTCAACAAGAAATAGAGATGATACGAGACTTGTCATCGGAGAGAAAGCCCCTAATGTCTGTCCGCGAACTGGCCAAGGGAATCACCTATAACGAGCCGCTGCCGACTGGATGGAAACCCCCGCTTAGTTATCGGAGAATGCCCGACAAGGATCGCGATGCCATTCGGAAGCAATGGCACATTGTAGTAGATGGAGAAGAGATCCCTCCGCCGGTAAGTAACTTCAGAGACATGAGGTTCCCTGATCCCATTCTCAGGGTGCTAAAGGCCAAGGGGATCTCCCAGCCTAGCCCAATTCAGCTGCAGGGGCTCCCTGTTATCCTATCCGGGCGAGATATGATTGGGATTAGCTCTACGGGTTCTGGGAAGACTCTTGTTTTCGTCCTCCCTATGATCATGATTGCTTTACAGGAGGAATGCATGATGCCGATTGGCCCCGGAGAAGGGCCCCTGTGTTTGATAGTCTGCCCGACCAGGGAACTTGCCAGGCAGACGTACGATGTGGTCCAGCAGTTTTTGGCTCCGATGTCAGAGGCTGGCTATCCTGAACTAAGGTGTTTGCTCATCATAGGAGGAATTGATAATCGATTGGAGTTAGCATCGATTATGAGGAACAAAGGTGTGCACATTGTTGTCGCAACTCCCGGGAGGTTGAAGGATATGCTGGCAAAGAAGAAGATGAGGTTGGACATTTGCAGATACTTGACGTTGGATGAAGCAGATAAGCTTGTGGATGGGGATTTTGAAGATGTCACAAGGGACGTATTTGACCACTTGGAAGGGCAAAGGCAGACCCTTCTATTCTCGGCCACCATGCCCACCAAAGTGCACAACTTTGCTCGAAGTGCGTTGGTGAAGCCAGTCACGGTGAGCGTGGGGAGAGCTGGTGCAGCAAATCTAGACGTGCTTCAGGAGGTTGAGTATGTGAAACAGGAAGCCAAGATGGTGTACCTTCTTGAGTGCCTGCAGAAGACACCACCCCCAGTCTTGATATTCTGTGAAAACAACGCTGCCGTGTGCAAAGTCCATGAGTATCTCCTCGTGAAGGGCGTCGACGCCGTCTCCTTTTATGGGAAGGAGATGGAGCAGACGGATAGAGAACGTGCAGTCGCGTTGTTTAAAGCAGGGAAGAAAGACGTCTTGGTTGCTACAGATGGTGCCTCTAAGGGTTTGGATTTCCCCAACATTCAGCATGTGATCAACTACGACATGCCGGCAGAGATAGAGAACTACGTCCATAGGATTGGACGAACTGGGAGATGTGGTAAGACCGGGCTTGCTACCACGTTTATAAACTCACAACAGAGCGAGACTATGCTCCTTGATCTGAAGCACCTGTTGCAAGAAGCACGACAGAGGATTCCACCTGTTCTTGCAGAATTGAATGACCCAATGGAGTTTGGTGCGGTCGGTACCGTTACCAACGCTGATGGTTGCGCTTACTGTGGTGGTCTTGGCCATCGGATCAGCACCTGTCCCAAGCTGGAGCAACAAAGAAGCCGGCAGATAGCTAGCTTAAGGAGTAGGGATTACTTTGGTTCTGGAGGGTATAGAGGAGAGATGTAACCGATCGATTATGTCATGTGTTATCACTAGTTGGGTTTAGTTTATTATTATATTTAAAAAGCAGTCTAGTCCAAAAGAAAATAGCTAAAATTTGTATGTAGAAAGCCAGAAATTCAGTACTTCGAGCATGCAGAAGACTCGAAGCAGAAATGCATGTAAAAATGAAAAGAAATTCACTTTCTGAGCATTACAGATCATATTACTCATTGTGAGCTCAACTTTGACTGTCTTTCTTAATTCACCATCCGCTTCAAGGGGAACATCTCCTTTCTCAATTTTAAATTCAACGATTCCTCTGTCATTTAGCTTGCAGGCCAATAGATTATTGTGAGAAGATAAAACCAATGACAAGGCTGTCATTAGTTTTGTGTCTGCATCTAATAATTTGCAATACAACACATCACACAGGGATAATCAATGGAATGGCTGACCTAGGATAATCCTTGTATTGCTCTGCAACAAAACAAAACAAAAACAAAAACAAGCATGTTACAAACCAATAAAACCTATTCAGTCACCAATTCTGCAATGCTTATGAATAAAGGCATATGCAAAGAATTAATATTTTGGCGGAGATTGGTCAACTTTGACAAAAAGAAGAAAATTTGATATCTTTGCGAGCCATCCAATCCATGCACAAATAGTGAATAATATGAACAATTCATGACAGCTTTTCAGATTGGCAGGTTGCTGGATTGATACGGAACCGTGCTTACAAAGGGAGATTAGTTCAAGTTATTGGATACAATTTTTGAATAGGGAAGAAACATGCGAGAAATTATTACATACCTGTAGCAACTCGAGCTCAGCAATGATATAAAGTGAAGATGCAAGCTCAACACTGTTTTTAATTTTTTAATGAGAGCTTGCAAACCACAATTGAAAACGAAAAAAGGTAACTTAGTATCCTTCAAAATTGAACTTAGACTTCACATGCAAATATTTTTGTTTAATCCAATCATTGTAGTATTTCAATAATGGGATTAAGAGACACCAAGCTAACGTTGAGTAGTTTCCATATTCCAACAATCTCAGTGCCATACCTTCCCACCAATTAGAGATGCAAGTAATGAGGAACCCTTGTCCCTTAACTCTGCATCTACACTTGCCAAGATGGAGTTCTTTTTTCTCCATTGCAATCTGAAAGCATCGGACCATGTTACAAAAATATAGAACACACACAGTGACACATATATTTCCTTTAGCTGCTAATGAACTTTTAACATGGTGTATGATTATTAGAACTCCACATAGATGGAAAAAAAAAACTGTCTGATGACAAATACCTTGAGGTTTTTTTCCTCACATTGTGATGCAGGACCGCGTCTTGGGCCGAGCCCATTAGTATTATTATAATCATTATTATTTTTGTGTTATTATTTATTGCGATAGTAGGTTATTATTCGAGTTGTTCGTATTAGTTGTGGTCTAGGATTATTATTATTATATCTTGTCTACGAAGTAATCGTTTACTTGTTGTTTTAGGTTTGGGTTTTCTTGTCTCAAGAGGGAAGGGTTTGTAGGATTAATCCTATAAATATGTACCTTTGCTCTTCGTTTTATTCAGTCGATCAATAAAGTATTAGTAGTTAGTAGAGAAAAGTAGTTCTTTTACCGCGTTTTCTAGTTCTTTCCCTAAATCGCTCGAGTTCTCCGGTGCGAGGAAACCGATCCTCCATCAATTGGTACCAGAGCCTGATTCCTAGTGAACCAAGCCAGGAGACCATGCCACCATGTAAGTCGCCGTCGCAGTCTTCATCAATGGAGGTCGTCGGTAACGAGGAGATTGGGCCGCAGATTCAAGCCCTCCTCGGTCAACAGCAAGCGATCGCTGCCAGTGGAACCCCAGGATGCCCTAAACTGCAAACATGAAGCAGCCCTGGAGCACCTGCGCGTCGACGTAGGACAGCTACAATGCGGCCATGAGAAGCTACAGGACGGCCAGGATCGTCTGCAGGAGGAGATCAACGTCATCCGCGTTGATCAGAATCGGCTAGCCGGCGATGTTAGCTCGATCCTGGTGATTCTCCGCAATCCACCGTGGGGAAGGAAGGCACCGGAGTCGCCCAAGGAGCTGGACCACACCGCCAAAGGCAGCCGCACGGTCGACCAAATTTCGCTGGTCGAGAAGCTGAAGGGAGTTCTCGGTAATGCTGAGGTCAACTCGCCTACGAGCCGGAGTTCAACGCCGACGCCAGGGACGAAGCTGGGAGCGCCGAACGGCGTGCCTAACTAGAGAAAAAAGCGCAGTGGTGGAATCAGCTAAGGGATTCCCGTATGCGCTGGCTGGTGAAACCTCGCCACCTACGGCGCCGACGAGCGACTGGAGCTCAAGGGGGCAGGCCGCCGACCGGGCCTACTCTAGAGCCTAGTGGTCATGGAAACCCTAGCCCGATTCGTGGGCTTGGGCAAAGCATGGGGGCCTGACTAGGGCTTTGCCCTACGGGGTTGGCCCAGGAGTGGGAATGGGCGGACTAGGCCTCGCAGAGCCGTGGATCTGGGGAGTTGGCGGCATGACCAGGCCGGGCGATGGTGGGCTAGCTTCTCTTAACCCTAGCGGGTCGGGGTTCTCCAACCAGGGACGAGCGGAACTGGACAGAACTTTCACCTTGGCGGCCCAAGCTCTGCCAGCAGTGGGCACAACAACGGGCAAGGAGCTCCGCGGGCCGCGATTGAGGCAGGAGGCATTTGGAGCAGGCCGAGTACCATTCCAGGCCTGGAGCAGGAGAGCAGGGGCGGACCACCACAGGGTCGTTGATTAGTTGGACCGTACACGGGTGGACCAACTAGGTTTACCCAACCCATGGGTCACATGGGTCAATTCGAGGAGCCGAGTCAAGCGATGTTTAGCGCTGGCTACTTATCATATGGATGGTGATGCTAACCAGTGGATTATGTGGCTAGAGGTGGAGTTCGCGAATCGCGGAGTATTCATGACTTGGGCCAATCTGTATGTTGAGCTATGGAAGAGGTACGGGTCGTCGGAGAAGTCGTCCGGACATGAGGCGCTGGCCAAAAGTCGTCAAACCGGATCCGTCGACGAGTACCAACAAACTTTTGAGAAGTTGCTGAATCATTGTGGCGGTTGGACCGAGGTTGAGATTATGGGGTCATACATGGGTGGGTTAAAGCCAGAGATATTCGCCTACATTCGAGCTTTCAATCCTCAAACGTCGGGTGAGGCGTATCGACTAGCTAAGATACTTGTGGAAGAGCTGCGACTGGAGAGGGGACGACCGAGGAGAGCAACACGAGCTGCCACGACGACTGATGGCGTGTCCTTGGCGCCACCGCAAACTGCTCCACCAACCGTGTCGGCGTCGGGAAGAGTTCCGCCACCTCCACCACCACGAATCATTCGCAACCTGTCGCCGGAGGAAGCTGCGAGGCGTCATCGCGATGTAATATGCTATAACTGTGACGAGAAGTTCACACATGGGCATCGTTGCGTCAACGCGAACGTTTCCTTCATGATCGGCGATTTCAAGGTCGAAGAAGAAGGAGGCGCGGAAATGGAAGGCAACTTCGGGGACGAAGTTGTTAAAAGGGGGCAGGATTGATGCAGGACATCGTCTTGGGCAGAGCACATTAGTATTATTATTATCGTTATTATTTTTGTATTATTATTTGTTGGGATATTCGGTTATTATTTGGGTTGTTCATATTAGTTTTGGTCTAGGATTATTATTATTATTATATCTTGTGTTGGAAGTAATCGTTTACTTGTTGTTTTAAGTTTGGGTTTCCTTGTCTCAAGAGGGAAGGGTTTGTAGGATTAACCCTATAAATATGTACCTTTGCTCTTCGTTTTATTTAGTCGATCAATTAATATCAGTTGTTAGTAGAGAAAAGTAGTTCTTTTACCGCGTTTTCTAGTTCTTTCGCTAAATCACTCGAGTTCTCCGGGGCGAGGAAACGTATCCTCCATCACATAGCCTTCCATGGTTCCTTGTGAGCTATGGCTTCTACTGTTGTTTTATCCTTAGCAAGTATGAGAAAGAACATGTATGGCCTCATGTTTGCATTGGCTGGAATTTGAAAGAATCCATTTTGCTATGTCTTCTGCGAACTAATCGTCAGCGCCCGCAATTACTCGTAATAAGTAGGAATTTAAGTATTGAGATAAATAATTAGATATTTAGATGAGAAGAACATATTAGAATCAAGCTGTTGTCTGGTGTCTGGAGCTGGGCTTCTTCAACGTCAGTTTTGAGGGAGATGCCAAGGTCATTATTGACAAAATTAATTCGGCGGACACGAGGGACAACAGGTTGGGTGCTGTTCTGGCGGAGATAGTGCAGTATTTTAGAGCCCACACGGGATTTAGTATTCGGTTTGTAGGTCGGGAAAACAATAGGGTAGCCCATGTAGTGGCTAGAAAGGCCCTCTCTTTGTACCCGGCTATAAGCCGATCTTTTGATTTTCTTGCCTGGCTGAATTCCCGGGTGTAGCTATCTTTTTGTTGAATCAATATATGATAATCTTTTGTCAAAAAAAAAAAGAATCAAGAACCGACCGAGATTTTGGATTAGGGGAGAATAGAAATTAGGATCTTAGAGAGATTAGATTCAAGAGGGATACTTTGCTTAATACTTTTCTTGATTCATTCTCAATGAAACCCCAAGTACCTATTTATCGAAAATAAACCCAAAAACCTAATAAACTAATCCTACCCTAATTGGCATGCGTTGGCCGCCAAACTCTACTTAACTAACATTATTAATTATTTATTAATAAATATAACAATGTATGTTTCTATCAATGCCCACTGCTTGAAAACAACCTTATCATCAAGGTTGTAGCCAAATTCAATCCTCCCTACCGATGACGTCATAACTCCATCTCTACTCCACCGCTTCTCACGTTTCCTTTCCCTCAAATTATGCTCCATTACTTGATTTGGGCTTCTTGCATTGACCTCTTTGTACTCTTCAAAAGAAGACCCAGTCAGAAAACACAATTTGAAGATCAATTAGGAAAACTCGACCCATCATGCATGTGGCCCACCACGCTTCTGCGGCAAAGATGGGTACTGTTTCACAGCCTTCCTCAACAATTGGGTTCGGCCCAACTTCATTTAGGAGCCTCCATGTTATCTGCCCTGACGTGACCCTAGGCCTTTTCTTGCCGACCCTTTCCACCGGCATGTTCGGCCCAAAAATGCGGACTGCTGATGCTGAGTTGCGAACCCGTTGGCAACTTAGGGTTGGAGAGGAGAACGCCATCCTCCTCATTCGTCTTCTTTTCCATTCGCCACGTCCTCATCGCCGACGACTTTTTCGACTTTCCTGGCGGCGAGCAGCCACGACGGCGACACAGCGGCCAGTAAGCTTCCATCGTCGTCTCCGACCCCCCTTTCACATCGGAGGCCTCCTTTCTCTCATTCCTTGGTGACAAAGAGTCCGTCGTCACAACTCGGGGACCCGTGGCTGATAGCCAAGCTACTGGTTTCATTGGCGACGTTGGCGAGCCACCCCATCGGTCTATCTTCTCTACAATCGTGGCCTCGTTCTCCGACGCGCTCCTCAGCGTCGACAAGATCATCCGTCGATGGAAAGGTAGTCCCCCTTCCGACCTCTACTTCTTCTTTGCTTTAGCGTCGGTCCTAATCTCCGAGATTTCAATTGTTCCCTCCACAGCTCAATTTGCAGGCCGAGGGGCCCTCGAGCTCCTTTTCTTCCGGAGCTTACAATTCTTGACTGGTGGATTCCGCGGAGTTATTACTTGTCCGGAAATGGCCATGGCAGTTGTTGGTGTTCCCACAAGGATGGTGGCCCAACTGGAACAATGATGAGTGATGGTGCAGGAAAGACAGGCGTTGCAGCAGCTACGGTGGTTGGTGGGGTTGGCGTGTCTTTTGCTGCCGGTGAGTCCGCCGCCATCAAATCCCATGCCAACATCACGCGAGGTGTGGTTCCACCTTGCTCGAGCTCGATTGGGAATGCAGATTTTTCCAACCAATCTTCGAAATCCATTTTTGTGACCAACAGTTCATTTGTCGTGCAAGCTGCGGCTGTAGCTTCCAACTCCATTTTAAGAGCTTTTGCAAGTTCTTTGATTGAGAGCCCTTCGAATCTTGTCATGAATCTAGTATGAGTGCCTTGCAATCACGCTCTAATACCACTGAAAGAAGCCCTCTTGTAGGGTTTCTAGATTCTGATCTTCGACACCCGCAATTACTTGTAATAAGTAGTGATTTAGGGATTGAGAGAAAGAATTAGAGATTTAGATGAGAAGAACGGAATAGAATCAAGAATCGGCCGAGGCCTTGGCTTAGGGGAGAATAGAGATTAGGAGTTGAGAGAGGTTAGGTTTAAGAGGGATATTTTGCTTAATACTTTTCTTGATTCCTTTTGAATGAAACCCCAAGTACATATTCAATCATAAAACGCATAACTTTAGTGTTACTATTCATTAAGAGGTGCTATTATAATTTTCATCAACTTTAGGGGTATTACCTTAAGAGGCCATTGTCGCAAACGGTACGTCCGCGACGCGGTGCGAAAAAGAGGAGTCGCCACCAATCTCTCACACTACAAGAAAAATGACTTTCGATCACGGGATTTCCCGTGACGAAATGCTCAATACCCGTGATTAATGTATTTTGCCACGGTTACTTTCCCGTGACAAGCATGCCCGTGGTCAAAGATCAATGATCACAGGAAATCCCGTGACTGATAGCCACTAGCAACGGGAATCCCGTGATTTATAGTTCAATTAGTCACAGTAAACCCCGTGATCAAGCTACAATCACCGGATGGCCCCGTGATTAATAGATGTGATTGCTATGAGATTTTCCATGATTGTTTGTGTTATTGATTATTGTATTTTTCATATTAGTCGCGGTAATACAATAATTTGGAATTTTGAATCCAATTATTCATTCCATTGTTAGGACTGAACCACAACTATATGCTAATACTATTAATACAATATAAAATACACAGAACAAATATAACTCATCAATTAGTAATAATCGTATTTACATAAAAAGAATTCAGTAAATATTACAAACAAATTCTACTCCCTTAGTGTAAATCCATGGCAAAACTCTGCCAAAAGATGCAGAAACATAAAAACTAAAAATAAATGCTTCACTATATTGAAGTCTTCTAACTAAGAAGTGGAACCATCAACAAGTTTCATTCCCCTTCTACTTTTCCATGTCACTCGTCTGCTTGCTGTTGATTCAATGAAAGAGTGAGTTATCAAGTCTTGGCCATCAATATTGCTCGAATTTTCCATAGCCATTTCTGCAAAATTGATGGGTGTTTGCTGCAATTGATTATGCCTTCTAATCCGAGCTATTATGTTCCTCTTCCTCCACTCCAGCCTTATTACTCGATGACATTACAATAGAGTCCAATTAAAGCACACAAGAAACAGAGAACTCAATAAACATATTAATAGAGTCCACTTAAACAGTCACAAAGATCTGACCATGCGATGTGCCGGGGAGGAGGCCTCGAGAAAGAGTAGTCTTCTTTCTCATTCGCTGGAGCCCAAAAATCTCAACATCAGGGGGAAAATCAGCGAGATGCGGTGGAGTTGGTGTATCCCGCTAAGATTGATGGCAACGAAGAACTAGAGATGGTGCCCGATAGCGATTGAATCTAGGAAGAGGGTTCTGCAGTGAGATCTAGAAATGGAGAGGGGTTAGGCGTTCGGCGGTGGAAATTTGGGAAAGACGCTGGGATAAGGGTTTGGAGGCATAGTTTGCTGCGGCGAAAATCGTAAGCCTAAATATCGGGAAATCTGTGAGGAGGCAAATCGGAAGAGGGGGAAAGAGAGAGATAGCATAACGGAGGGCGTGGGGTTGAGAGAGTTTGGCTCAGCAGGGGAATGCTTTAAAAAGAACAAGTGTGAGTTGGCTTTAGAAAGAACAAGTCAAAATAAGCCAAAAATTTATGGCGGGCTGCTTCAAATTTTGCAGGGTACAAAAAATTGTGAATATCGCGCCAAGTGAAATTTTTTGTTTTTTGGTTCCCGCCCGCCAATAGTCACGGGTTGTTTACCCAGATTTTTGTTAAATCGCTAGCGGTCACGGGGATATGTAACCGTGATAATAATTCACTTTAAGTAATGGGAGTCCACCCGTGACAGAAAGATCCCGTGACTGAAGATGTATTTTCTTGTAGTGTCAAAGTGGATTGGACACTTGAAAAGTCAAGCTTAAATCGGCTAAGATTTAGGCTCGGTTCGGTCTGCGAAATAGATTTATGGGTTCGGGGTTCGGTAATGAGTAAGGAAGGTATTAGTGGACTTGGACCCGTAGGTCGCCTACGTACCCGACATCTCGGGATCAAAACCCACGTAGTTTGCCCAACATTTTAATTGTTTTAAAACATTTGCTTACAACCCATCGGTACATAATAGTTGCTTAATTCGACGACAACCCATCAATCGTAATTTGTTTTAGATGGATTAAAGGAGTGTTGATCACGTACCCATCGGTACGTAATAGTTTGCTTAACTTGATGACGATCCATCGATCGTAATTTGTTTGAGATAGATTAGGTGATAAATTGATCATGTACCCATCAGTAATGATTCAATCGTATAATTTGATAAAAATGTTTTCGGAATTGTACGGACTTGAACCTTTCGGTCGTCTACGTACCCGACATCTCGGGATCAAAGTCCGCGTAGTTCTGTATTCTTTAATTGTTTCGAAAACGTTTTCTTATGACCCATCGGTACGTAATGGTTTCTTAATTTGACGACGACCCATCGATCGTCGTATGTTTAAGATAGATTATAGGAGTATTGACTATTGATCACGTACCCATCGGTACGTAATAATTTGCTTAACTTGACGACGACCCATCAATCGTAATTTATTTGAGATAGCTTATACAATTATTAATTACATACCCATCGGTAATGATTTAAGCCTCGTGATAATTAATATTTTTAGGAGTTGTTTGGATTTGAACTTCTCGATCGCCTATGTATCCGACATTTGGGGATCAAAATCCACATAGTTCAATTTAAAGTAATTTGGATGAATTGTAATGGGATATCATTTAAAAAGAGGAACGCATCCGTTCCTAAATGTCAAATTTTTAGTATATACTAAAATTATTAAAATTTACTGAAAGGATAAATTAATAGATAAATTTGGTACAGTTCGCATCATGTTAATTTGTTTGCACAAAAAGGTGATCGGATTTTATACTGGAACTTGGTTAATTATGGGCTAAGTATATTTAAAAGTAAATGCCAACAATTTACAAGAATGCAATTTTTCTACTGTATTCATGAAGATAAGCTAGGTTTACGTGGTTAACTTAGTAATTTTAGAGATTAAGAGATGAAAAAGCCACCTGCCTCGTGGGATCCGACAGAGAGATAGTCTCCTTCCTCTTTCCTAAAGCTCGCAAAATAAACAACCATTCTTTCCTCTCCCTTTCTTGCGATGAATCGAGTAGAGGATTGCGGCTGAGATCGACGAACGAGGTAGAGGCGGAGACGGACAACGGGGTATGACGTAGAGGTGGCCTGTCGATGGCGGCCCAACCCAGCAGCGGCAAAGGGGAGCGACAAGAGAGGCGAACAACAGTGGTGTGATTTTGACGATGGCGGCGGGCTTTTTTTACGATGGCGGTGGTCGGATTAGACTCCTCGAGGGTCGACAAAGATGGGGACGGGAAGCGCGTTGGTGGACGTGGCAGCTGATGCAGAGCAGGTCGACGACGAGGATCCCCGGCAGTCCGGTGGTTGGCGGCGAGGCAGTCGACGCGGGCAGGTCTGTTTTTTTGTTTTTCCTAACTAAAAAGCTGGAATCTCAATGCACGGAATGTACTACTATTTTCTCTCTCGTAAAATAAACAAGACACGATTTAACGTGGTATCCCCGACGTGGTGTCGATACTAATTCACAGGAGAGTATGAACCTCTCCGGCTACTGATGTTATTATGATATGAGATCACAAAGCGGCTGTGCCCGCGTACAATGAGTATTTATACCCTTTCTACAGGCAACTAGGGTTACATCAGTAGAATCATCCTCCTCTAACACGTAAGCCATGCACGCAGCGGAGAGAAGAGAGGTTGCATGGGCTTCGGGTTGAGTGGACGTACGAATGGTTATCGAACTCGTCATGGGCTGCGAAGCAGGCCCATTCACATGCTCCAATACTCCCTCGCAAGCTGGAGCGTGAAGATCACGAAAGTTCAGCTTGGAAAGAAGAAACCGAAAACGTTCGGCTCCCAAATCTTTGGTGAAGATGTTTGCGAGCTGCAAATGAGAACTTACCTTGAGAGGGAAGATAGCGCCAAATTGGATGCGTTCACGGACGAATTAGCAATCCATTTCCACATGCTTCGTGCGCTCGTGAAACACAGTGTTAGCATATATGTAGAATGCTGCTTTATTGTCGTAGTAGAGGAGAGTAGCATGTTGTTGAGGAGCCCCAAGTTCAGCGAGGACCCAGTGGAGCCAAATGGCCTCGCTGACGGTACTGGCCATAGCTCGATACTCGGCCTTGGTAGAAGAGCGTGCGAAGACCTTTTGTTTCTTCATGTGCCAGGAGATCGGAGCACCCCCAAAGTGATAAAATAGCCCGTCGTGGAGCGACGAGTGCTCTCACAGCCCCCCCCCCCCCCAATCTGCATCACAATAGGCAGTAAAAGTAAGATCATTGTGTTGGTGAAGAAAAATACCTTGACCGGGAGAAGTCTTAAGGTAACATAGAACACGCATTGCCGCCTCCATGTGGCCACGACTGGTGGCGTTGACGAACTGGCTCAGGACGTTGACGTTGTATGTGATGTCGGGGAGGGTGAGATGATGATTCTGCTCAACCAGGAAAGCACTAGGGCGCGCGCCTTCGACACTTGCATCTTCAAGAATGTGGAGAGTGTATTTTCGCTGACACAGGACCACTCCATCATGAGTATGGGCAAGCTCCATGCCAAGAAAGTACCGGAGATCACCCAAGTTTTCGATGCTAAACTCGGTATCAAGAAAGCGTTTTACGTTGTCGATGAAGGAGGGATCATTCCCAATTAAGATAACATTATCAACATAGATGAGGGCTGCAACAAAGGTGCTCCCCCGCCGAAAAATAAAAAGAGAGTGGTCGGCAGGCGAGGAGCTGAAACCAAGATGATATAGGCCATTAGTGAACTTGTGATACCAATTGCGAGAGGCTTGATGTAGCCCATATAGAGATTCTGAAGTCGACAAACTTGATTATTGCCGGAACCAATGAAACCAGGAGGAAGCGGCATGTAGACCTCTTCTTCGAGATCACCATAAAGGAAGGCGTTGTTGACGTCAAGCTGATGGAGGGGCCAACCACGACTGACGGCAACCCTAGGAGACAGCGAACGGTCACTAATTTTGCCACCGGCGCAAAAGTATCATGGAAGTCAATGCCCTCAATCTGAGTATACTCTTTTGCCACCAAACGCGCCTTGTAACGCTCGACCGTCCAATCCGGACGATATTTAATCTTGAACACCCACTTGGCAGCAATGGTACGCTTGCCGGGAGGCAAATTAATGAGATCCCAGGTGCCATTTTGTTGTAAGGCACGTATCTCTTGAAGTATTGCTTCCCGCCAGCGAGGATCAGCTAGAGCTTCTCGTTAGTTCCTGGGTATGTCGTGAGTGGTGACTGCAACAAGAAAGGAACGATAAGTGGGATGAAAGGAATTATACGAGACAGAAGCCGAAAGAGGAAATGAAACAACACAAGAAGAACTTCCCTCTTCAGCATGATCATGAAGCGGAGCAAACTGAGTGTCTTAGAGGCCCAAATGCTTAGGGCGAACACGTATTTGATCACTAGGTCGAGGTGGCTGCGGGGAAGTGGAAGGAGAGCAATCAGGAGACGAGGAGGAGCTACCGGCATCGGGAGCTAATGCGGGCGATGCCTGAGTGTCACCAATAGCAACCTCCTCGGGGCTGGGATCAGGAGAGTCCCCAATGGCAATCTCCACGGGACTGGCACCAATTTGCCGCGAAGATGGCTGACCGATGTCATCAAACAATTCATCATCAGAGTCAAGCTCAGGGGCGTTGAAGATGGGTTGCGGAATCCAATGTAGGCGACGAGACATCCCATCACGGAAAGGAAACTCTCTCTCATGGAGTTGGACATCGCGAGACACTACAACGCGCCCCGTAGTTAGCTTGTAAAATCTGTTTCCTTTCTTACTGGAGGCATACCCAATAAAAGTGCAGGCTTTTTCTCGTTCAGCAAACTTATCAAGCGTGGCGTGGGTGTCCTTAATGTATGCTAGACAACCAAAAATCCGAAGATGTGAGTATGGTGTTGGTTTGTCGAACAACACCTCAGAGGGTGTCCGCCCTGTGGCAGCGGTAGGCAGGCTAGTGATCAAGTAAACTGCAGTAAGGATGCACTCGCCCCAAAAACGGAGTGTTAGGCTAGCCTGAAATCACAGCGCTCGGGCCGTGTCTAAGATGTGGCTATATTTTCGTTGGACTACCCCATTCTCCTGGGGTTATCTGTGCACGAAGTCTGTAACAAGATGTCCTCACTGTCGTAGTATACCCTTAATGCGAGTGTGTTAAACTCATGTCCATTGTCTGCCTGTATGCGCTTAAGCCGCTTACCAAACTGTCATCGTAACATCTGATCAAACATCATCAAATAAAGTCCCACATCCGATTTAAATCGAAATAAGTAGACACATACACCACGACTGTAATCATCAACAATGGTAAGAAAATAATGGGCTCCACCATGAGAAGTTGTCTTATAACCACCCCAAATGTCAACGTGAATCAAATAAAAACACTACTGAGTTCGAATCATACTAGAAGGAAAAGGAGTTCGTGTTTTCTTCGCTCGAGAACACGAATCACAAGTTTTATTTGAAATAAAAGAGACATCAAGAAGCTTCTGGAGACCTTGCAGCTTCACTAGAGATGGGTTCCTAAGTCTAGCGTGCCAAACGTCGTCAGAGACTCTTCCCTGCTGCCTCGCGGCACAAGCCGTAACATGCTCATACCCCAAGAGTCGCAAATAATAAAGACTGTCTCGCAATTCACCTCTCCCAATCAACCTCCTGGATAGTAAGTCCTGAATGACGCAAAACCCATCGAGAAAGATTAAAGCTACCCAATTCTCTTTAACAAATCAACTCACCGAGATCAAATTGCATCTGAATTCAGGCACATGCAGAATGCGATTAAGAGCAAGACCTGGGCGTAGCTCAACACTTCCTAAGTGTGCTACGAGCACACTATCACTGTTAGCAATTTTCACCGGCTGCCCATTTTCATGCTTCATTTTGTTCATTAACAAATCATCACTCATAATTATATGCTCGTTGCATCCGAAATCAAGCAACCACTCAGTTCTTGCGAAAGACATACCTGCCAAGTTTGCGCTAGGGTCGTCAGCGCCTTGCACAGAATAACCAAAAAATTGTTTAAGCTGCTCTAGTTGGGCAAGCATGAACCCTGCCAAGGGACTCTTCTCGTCCTTCCCATTCTCAACCGGTCACGAGCTGGCCCATCGATGCTTGATCGAGGAGAACGGCGCCACTGCTGCTCAACCGTCCTGTCACGAGCTGAAGGAAGCTCGCGTGAGTGATGATTCTCACGAGGTTGATACCCATGCAGCTGATAGAAGCTCTCACGGAGATGCCCCTGACGTTGACAATAAGTGCATCGCATCTTTTTCTTAGTGCCGCGCTGATTGCCTCGATCTCCATCACTTCAAGCCGTAAAAGCAGCAGCCTCCACCACCGGCTTGCGATTCTGTGAAATGAGGCGTTGTTGTTCTTCATTTATTTTCATATTAAAAGACTCGACGAGACTTGGTGTGGGCTTCATCGTTAGCACCTAAGTACGCACACATAAGAAGACCTCATCAAGTCCCATCAGGAAATTGAAAAGACGCGAGCTTTCTTGCTGCTCACGGAAGCGTGTCGAAACTCGAAACCCCGCACATGCATAGACCGCATGTATACACCGGCGTGGGCGATATCATTGTCGCCTCCTCCCAAAGCGACCTTAATTTCTTGTAGAATGCTGAAACCGACATCTTCTCCTGCTGAAGTAAGCTGATTAGTCAACGAAGCTCATAAGATCTAAACGCATTACCTTGTCCAAAACAATTTTGCAAATCGTCCCAAATCTCACGCGCGGATTCTGCAAATCTGATGCTACTTCGTATTTCCTTATTCATGGTTGTCTTTATCCATCCCTTCACCATGGTGTCGCAATGTATCCACGCGTTGCACGGTTCCCCTACGGCAGGATTAGCAAGCGTCCCTTCGACGAACGCTATTTGTTCTTAGCAATTAAGGCATCTTTCATATCAAGATACCATTCCCCGTAATTAGATGACGTAAGAACGTCACCCCAGTTTTAATTGCCCAAACTTATGGGTTTCCTCCAGCTGCTTAAGACCCATCACATTCCAAGACTCCAACATATTTCCTCGGAAGCACAAATGAAACGAACGAAAGTGGGAGAAGTGGCTCCATCGATTAGTCCCTCTATGGCACGAGGCGATCGAGTGGTCGACAAGCAAGGTCGAGGCGAGTGGGAGAGGGATTGCGGATGGTTCGGCCAGTCTAGGAGACGAGTGAGGGAGGATGTCACACCGGTCAGGGATTCTGATGGGCTCGGAAGATGGAAGGGGAAGACCTTGGTCGGCGAAGAAATCAAAGGTAGCGGTAGTTCTCGTCATATCTCCGCGAAGCAAATGCTAGCCAAAACAGAACCGCTCTTTATTTGGATTGTCGGAGGATCATCGTAAAGCTACATCGACGATCCCGGCATGGTCGGATTCAACCAATATTCATGTGGTGGGTATCATCTCGTAGAGGGCAATCCCAGAATCGTCACTGAGTCGACGAAATCGAATTCCGATGTCGGACGAGGGAGAACCGAACACCGGAAGTTTGGAAAGGAAATCTGTTAAGTTTAGGTACCATTCATGGCAATTCGAAAATAGTAAGGAGTAGTTCTGAAATTTTCCAGAGAGGTGTTAGTCACCTCGTTGACTGGAAAATTTTAGTTTCGTACCTGGCACTTTGGAAACTGACAGAATTTTCGTTTTTGCCATAACTTGTTCGTTTGACGTCCAAATGAGGAACCGTCAGCGCCAATGGAATCGTGGAAGCGAGGAAAATATTTTGAGAGAAAGTATAGAAATTTAGAGAAGATTTAGAATCAGTTTCGACGGAAACGAGGTGAGTGTAAAGGGGGTAATATCTCAATCATAGGTCTTTTAGTTTATGCTTTTACTTTAAGTAATGTTAGTTAATTTATGAGTAACCGTGATTATGTGTGTGAGGAATCCCACCGCCTACTTAAGGTGGAGGCACGCGTCGTGCTATGTATGTGATGTATGGTTGTTGGTAAGATGAACCCCCGGGCGGTTGGGCCACTACTGGACACAGTAGGTGGTCGGATAACTGCTGGACGGCGAGATGTAACGCAACAGTTGATCGAGTTTGTTGGGGTCACTACTGGATGGCGAGACATAACGCAGTAGTTGACCGACCATGGACTGGACGACAAGAAGTAACGCAATGCATTGCCAAGTTTGTTTATGAAACCGGACGACGAGACGTAACGCGGTTGGCATACTAGAGTAGGGTCACCGGACGGCGAGAAGTAACGCGGTAGTCCTAGTGTCTTGTGTTTGAGTTAAGGGTAGAAGCCGAGAACTTCTATGAGTTATGTCGGGAAAAGTATTAAGGATAGAAGTTGAGAACTTCAATAAGATAAGGATAGGAGTAATGATCTTTATTTTAGTTGCGTTGGAATAAGGTTTTTAAGGATGAAGGCGAGAACAACTTTCATCTAAGAAAGGAATCCACTAATAATGTGTTAAGTAAGAGTTTGCTTAGGGCAAAGACCTTAGGAAGTAACGACGAGACTGACCCATTCTCACTCACTATGTTGAGGAAGGGTTATCTGACGTGGTAAGGTGGGAAAACGGGAGATGTGAGTTTTGTTTGGCTATTCTTAATTGCTCGCCAACAATTTCTTTTTGTATTTCCATTCTTTCTTTCTTTTGCTCCTTAAATGGACTATGCGGCATCTCTTGTCTGGATGGATCCTTCGATTCTCATTGCCCCCTAGTAATGGTGTAAGAATTCATCAATCTACCTGTTATAATTTGACGAGGGGACCTTCCCTTTTGTGTAGTCTTCCAGTTGCGACATCCCCTTAATTTGGTTGCCTACTTCCTGATGGTATTATTTCCTATTTTTGTTTCCTTTCAAAAGTTATTTCAACTATTAAGGATCGTCATGCTGAAGTTCCCTCACCGTGAACCTTCGAGTTGTACTTCAAAATTTTGGATTGCCTCTTGTTCCACAATCTTCATTTGTGAGTGAAGCACCCCTCATTCTTTAACAAAAATGAATGGTTGTCAAAATGTCCTCATGGGAGAACGTTCAAACTCATGCTCATAGGTAGAAGTGCATCTTACGTGTTTAATAAAATAAGTTTTTTTTTCTATACTTGAAGAGTAAATTGGCGAATAAGGGCACCTTTATTTATTAGCTTTTTTTTCTTTAATGACAGTAGCACGTAAAAGTGGTATCATGTTCCTTACAAACTAGTTTTTTACCCGCCCGTTGGGCGGTGTATATTGTTTGGTTATTTTATAATTCGTTATAGTATTCTAATTATTATTATTATTATTTATGTTTGTTAAGGTAATATATATGGAAATGTAAATCCCACTTACCTTATTTCAAGTATTGTTTCATACTTTTATACCTTTTGTTTATTTATGAAAATTTTAATTTTATAAACTAAGCTCTTTGTAGATTGTTCTTTATTGATTTAGAATTTATTTTTATCGAACTCGCCCTTTAAGATTATAAACATAAGAGTTATTCATTCTTTAGCACACAATTGTGATAAAGAAGTTAAACAATTTACAGCCACAAAAGAAGAAGTTAGAATAAGAAAATATGCTTCAATTAATAAAAAAAAGTAAGCGAAGAATTTTTTATTTTCTCTCCCTTCTCATATGTCGATATATCATAATAGAGAATATTCCGATCTAAATCCCATGAATATCGTGTATTATCTCTTACACATACAACTTTGGAATAATGAGGAAACTCATTAGCATACACGTCAATCAATCTTCCACGTACTCGTTTAATTACCTTTGAAATGTTCTAGAAAACCGACCACAAACAAAACTATCAGCTGTCACAAACTTATTAAAACAATATTTTCAGCAAATTAAACTGCATATACTTAAATACAATTTATATTTTGTAGAGATCACATATCTCCTGCAGAAAAGAATTGTGATTTTTACCTAATAACAACATAAAAAAATAATGAAAGGAGCAGTCTTCAATACAACTCAACTCATTTTATCATGCAGATTCCTCATTTGTGAACTGAATATATGCATCAATCCAAATAGTAGTTTGTAAGAAAACAATCATGTCAAAATCAAGCTTTAGTTAGGGATTCAATGCGGAAAAATTCACCTTAATGAAACAAACAAATGTCACCGCAAACATGTAGAAATTAAAAAAATGTCGAAATAGACAACCGAGAAACCACCATTATCATTTTCTTTCTTCTTCGCGACCTTTATAAAACCCCAATTATGTTCCCTTCTACTTGTAACCTCTTTGCTATCAACTAATTACTAAACAGATCATCATTGTATTGCTAGCTAGTAGCATGTCAATCATGAACATAAAATATAACAAACAACAATCACAACTCTTCTTTCTATTTCAACATTCAAGAAATCGGGTTGCAATAGACATTCAAGAAAAACGATCAATTATTCAATCAAGTGAGGTATGCCCTAAGTCCAACCAATGAACCCTTTTAATTATATTTTATATATTTAAATAAAAGTATATGACGACCCTTCTCCTTGAAAAACAAAGAAGAAATACATTCACTCATCGAGAGTGGGAAAATTTACCATCCAGCAGTTATAATTTGGAAGAAATTAAGAAAAGAATGGGAGAAAGAGTATAGCTCGGTCAGTCAACCGCAAACAATAATGTATCGCTGAGAAAGTGAGACCAGTTGCCAGCTTCAGATCAGAAGGAAGAGGGAGTAGTCGACAACCCTCGGCTTGGTTCACCTCATCTTCACAATGATCAGATGAACTTTTTCGTTAATAGGCAAAAATATGTTACAACTGCTCAAAATTTTGTCATCTAATCGTTGCCTCGTGTAACTCCTGCATCCTATTCTCATACAAAGAAAAAAAATCATATGCATTACCATTTCTTTCTCTATAAATTATGAGAAATTGAGAATACAAATATTAGAAATCTCAAAAAAATTAGCAACTAATAAGAGGGTTTTGTTTATTTTTATGGTGGTTGATATACTTTCTTGATTTCTTATTTTCAAAGTTGGATTTTATTTCTAGTGAGACAATCAAAATGGGAAAAGGGACATAAACAAATTAAAAGTTTGCATTAATAATTAATATGTTTTTATTTAATCAGAATAAATAAGAAGTTTTTAAAAAAATAACAATTATTGCTCTGTCAAGTTTGTATTCAAACATTTTGCTATAAAATTTATACTTGTTTTATTTGATAGGTATATACATTAGAAAGAAGTGAGTGTTTGATAGCAAAAAAAAAACATATAGTCATATCGATCATTTCTCAAAGTCGATTGATTATCAAACGCTTATTTTCTCTTAGACCATCGTTTATATTTTGTTTAATTGAAAATATTATTATTTATGTGTGTGTGTTTTTCTTCATCAAAATGTAACTTATTATTAAATTTTAGTAAAATTGAGTAGAAAATTTACTTAATCAGATTTAATCAGTTTGAGTTAAACAAATACTATATATCACTCTCTGTTTCCATCTTTATAGTTTGTTTAATTGAAAAAAAAGATGATTACTTATGTATGTGTTTGTTTGTTTTAATGTTTCCTAAAAAATTAACTTATTTGAATTTTAGTAAAAATGAGTAGAATTATTAAAAGAAGAGAGAGATAGCTTCATAAATTGATCAATAAATAGTTTTTTGTTTGTAAAAAAATTGTCCACCTTGGCAACTTGTGCATTCACCAAGTGCTTATGTGGCAAAAAATTATTTTTGAATAGCCATAATATTTAGTATAGAAGATAGATATAGATAGATAGATAGATAGATAGATAGATAGATAGATAGATAGATAGATTCCTCCATATCAAGTCAGGATAGAAAAGTGGGCTTTAATCCTTCTTCATTGAGTCCGAATTGACTGGGCGTGGAAGGTCATCACCATCCATATTCGACAGAATCAACGCGCCTCCCGTAAAAGCCTTCTTGATTACAAATGGGCCTTCATAGTTGGGCGTCCATTTTCCTCTTGCGTCAATCGGATTAGGTAGGAGCTTCTTGAGCACTAAGTCCCCTTCTTGCAGGGGACTTGGCCTTATCTTTTTCTCAAACGCTCTACTTAGGCGTTGTTGGTACAGTTGACCTTGATGAATTGCAGCCAATCTCTTCTCTTCGATTCAGTTTAGTTGTTCATATCGCATTCTTATACACTCCGCCTCGTCTAATTCCGCTTCCATTATTACTCTGAGAGAGGGTATTTCTACTTCAATAGGTAGGACAGCTTCCATGCCAAAGACTAAGGTGAATGGGGTTGCGCCTGTTGACGTCCTTACACATGGTATGTATCCGTGTAAAGCGAATGGTAGCATTTCGTGCCAATCCTTGTAAGTTACTACCATCTTCTGCACTATTTTTTTGATATTTTTGTTGGCTGCCTCCACTGCTCCGTTCATTTTTGTT